ATATATATATATATATATATATATATATATATATATATATATATATATATATATATATATATATATATATATATAAGAAATGAATGACCACCATACTCTTTATGCAAAAGATTGTGGACCTAGAAGGTCCGGGATTTATGTGTTGTAGACGGTATTAAACGGCTTTGCAATGCAATCATTAACCACCAAATCCGTACAGAGTGCGTCCCTGACGCTTCAGGGCATACACGACGTCCATGGCAGTAACAGTCTTGCGCTTAGCGTGCTCAGTGTAGGTGACAGCATCCCTGATAACGTTCTCCAGGAACACCTTAAGCACACCACGTGTCTCTTCATAGATCAAGCCAGAGATACGCTTCACGCCGCCGCGACGAGCCAGACGACGAATAGCTGGTTTGGTGATGCCCTGGATGTTATCACGTAAAACCTTTCGGTGACGCTTAGCGCCTCCTTTCCCAAGACCCTTGCCTCCCTTGCCGCGGCCAGTCATGATGCTGCTAGTGTGTGTGGAGCGAAGCGAAGCGCACTACAGACTGAGTAAAATTCCTTTTTACCTTTACGGGGGGGGATAGAAAAGGGGGGTTGAAAGAAGGAGTCTAGATGAAGAATAGTGACAGAAATGATGAAGTACAGAAGAGAGATAACAGTTGACGGGCTGACCGCCTTGCTTATTGTTTGTTTGTTTGTTTTTTGTATTTTACTATTTTACTGTTGTGCTCATCGCAAGCTCGTAAATGTTAGTTGATATTTTAAGTTTGCTTATCTTTCTGGGTCCGTTTATTACCGTTTAATTACGATTGTTCTTCGGTTAACTTTGAATGTTATTGCTTCTTAGGTTCCCTGGCAATCCAGGTAAGTTTTTATTTTTATTTATTTATTATTATTATTATTATTTATTTATTTATTTTTATTATTTTTTCCTTTTTTTATTCATATATCCATTCAATTCCTATGTATACAGGGGTGTTGGTATTCCTTTGTTTATTTGTAGTATAGGTTTTCGGAACCATCCGTGTTCTCTATTGTTTAGTGTTTGGATAATTTCTTTGTAATTTTTATCTTTTAATTCTTTGATTAGTTTCTCTTTTATATTATTTCCTCTTTTTTGTATTATTACGTTTAACGGTTTTAGTTTTGCTAGAGTGTGTAATTCTTCTGTATTTCTTTCGTAAGGATATTTTTCGTTGTATGCATATCTTAGACTTTTGTTTTGTATTTTTTGTAGTATTTTTAATGTTGTTTTTGATTGGCTATTTAGAGGATATGAGGGGTAATTTAGTATGGGAAGAATACAAGCCTTTACTAAATGAATTTTTATGTTGGTAGGCAATCCCTTAAATCTTTTGATGTTGTTAAGAGCTATATTGGCTTTGATTTTTTGATGTCTTATGTGATTTCTTATTCCTTGTGTGTTAAAATGTAAGCCTAGAATGCATCCTTCATTGGAGTAAGGTATTGTTACGTTATCTATTTTAACAGGTTGATTCTTATATGTGGCTAGTGGTATTATTTTAAATTTGTTGGTGTTGGTTTTTATTTTCCATTTATTTTCGTATTTGTTGACTTTTAAGATCTCACTTGCTGTTTTTGTTGCCATCATTGCTCTTCCTTTGCCTTGATATGTGATTATTTGTGTTATGTCATCTGCGTATAGTATATATGTGTTTCTTGCTGATGGTTTTGGTATGTCATGAGTGTATAATGCATACAATGTTGGTGAGAGTGCACTTCCTTGAGGTACACCGCTTCTTATTATGAATTCCTTCCCTTTGTGATTGTTGATGGATATGGATGCTGTTCTGTTATCTAGGAAGGAACTCAATAATTTAACTATTAATTCTGGTAGTTGGATATTTTTGATTTTATATTTTAGCCCATTGTGCCATACTTTATCGAAGGCCCTAGATACATCACGGAGTACTACATGGCATTGTTCTTTGTTTGCCAATGCTTGGGCTATTTTTTCTATCGTGATTGCTATTGCTGTTTCCGTGCCTCTATTACTTCTAAACCCATGTTGGCATTCTGGTAAAATATTTTTATCCTCTATGTATTCTCTTATTCTTTTATTAATTATTTTTTCAAAAATTTTTCCAGGTACTTCGAGAAGTGAAATAGGGCGGTAGTTTGATGGGTCTGTGGTGGGTTTGTTGGGTTTGGGAATTAGTTTTATGTTTGCGTGTTTGAATATTTTTGGGAAGTATCCCATTGATAGTGATGTGTTTAATAATGAGGTGTATATTTTTAGGGCTTGATCGGGGATATTGATTAAAATACTTTTGTTGATGGAACTTAGGCCTGGTGTATTGTTTTTCAGTGTTTTAATTGTATTTTTTACCTCTTCAGTTGAAATTTCAGAAGTCAGCCATAAATTGTTATTTAGTCTGTTGAGGTCTGCTGTCTCGCAAGGTTTAAAACGTTCTTGGTTTTGGAGAATGTATTGATTTACTGTTAACTCAGTTTCGCTATCGAATAGCCTATTCTCCTCCGGGCTTATGTGAAAGACCTCTCTCCATATTTCTCTGAAAACTTCCTCCTTCTCCTCCTCTGTGTAAAGTTTTATATTGTTGTGTATTATGTAGGGTGACGTGTTGGTCTTATTTCCTTTCAATTTTTTAATTTGCTGCCAAAAATCCCTTGGGTTTTTGTAGCTTTCTTTAAGATCATTTAGTTTTTTCTCCCAGTTTTTATTACTTTGTTTTTTGCTTTCTTTGATAATTTCTTGTTTGATTAACTTGAATGTTATATATTTCCCATAACTCCAGCCTATTAATTTTGCTTCGTCTAATACATTTTTGGCATACCATTGCAGCTGTTTTAAATATGAATTTTGAATTGATTGAAGCTCTATTTTAATTTTGTTTTGAGGGATATTGTTATTCATTGCTGTTTTTATTATTTTGTACCATATTTGTAGATCATTCTCTATTTCTTGTTGATTGGTGGCATGGTGGGTGTCTAATGTCTCCATTTTTCCCTCTATTTCTTCTTTAAATTTCTCCCAATCTGCTTTCTTCATATTGTATTTTAGAGGTGTTGGTTTTGTTGTTGCGTGTGCTGTGATGGTGAAAAGAATGGGAATGTGGTCAGATGAGGTTACCGGGCCAGCTTCTATTATATGATTATGGTAAATTTTGTTGTTGGTGAGTATGATGTCCGGTGAAGTAGCTGCGTTATGTGTTATGTATGTGGGGAAGTCAGGTCCTAAATGTATTAATTTATTTTCGTCAATCATTCTTGTTATTCCTTTGCCAACGGTATTGTTGTATTTGTCACCAAGTGTTTTGTGTTTAGCGTTCATGTCTGCAATTATGTATGTGGGAGTGTTGTTTGAAGTTAATTTATGGATGTCTGGGAATGGAAGATAAGGTCTTCTTGGGGGGAGGTAAGTGGTTGCAATATTTATTGGTCCTGTATTTGTGTCTATTGTTACTTGTAGTACATCTGTCATAAAGTCATCACTTATTTTGTATTTAATATTTGATTTAATTAATATAGCAATACCATCATTAATTTCGTTACTTGAGTTAATTTTGTGTGTTGAATAACCATATAGTTTTAGTGGCTCATTAGGTTTTAAGCCGTGGCTGTTTATTAAGATGATGTCAGGTTTTATTGTATGGTATATGTTGGTGAGTGTGTTTTTATTAGTTTGCCAGTGTGCTACGTTATGTTGTATTATTTTTATGGTGTCCATGTTTTTGTTTTTGTGTAAGTCTAGAGTGTGTGTTTGTTGTGTATAAGTGTAGTGTAGTTTGTTGAACTGTTTTTTCTTACTAGGTTACTCTAGATTGGCTGGATATTATTTGCTGCTGTGACGGTATCTGTGTTTGTTAGGTGGGGGTGTTCTTTCTTGAACAAGACCATTTCGAATCTTTTTGAACTGAGAGTCATCTGTTATGCAGAAGCAGTTGACTAAGTCAACTTCGTTGTTGGTAATATAGATGTATAGTTCTTGTTCCTCATATGCTGCACATGTATACCTCCATTTGTATAATCCTGTGTCAATTCCAAATTTGATGTGTTGTACATTCAGTTCATGCTTAGGCCAACCTTCGCTCTTGCGTGTAATGATTTGTAGTCCAAGCTGCGAGCCTTTTATTTGTGTTGGTGTCGGTGGTGAGTCTTGCACATCTTCATTAATTGTATTTTGTGTTTCTTGTGTTTTTGTTTGTTTTGCTGTTGCTCCTGTTGCTGCTAATGGTGTTTCTTCTGCAGTATTGTCTTGTGGTATAGTTGTTGTCATACTAAAGATGTCTGCAGAAGGTGGGTTTTCAGGGAGTATTATTGAGGGGAGGTTATTCAGTTTAAATACTTTATTTATTTCATCATTGTAAGTTCCTGGTCTTGCAATGTTTTGAATATGAGCGTGCATCATGCAGGCCATTATCTTTGTAGCAGTATCCTTGTTGAAGCAGTCTGATGTATTAATCAAGGGATTTATAGGATTTGTTGTTGTTGTTGCTGTAGCCTGGCTGTATGTTAAGTTCTTTTTCCCTTTATTTTCATTTCTCTTCTTTTCCTTTATTTCTTTTCTTTTAGGACATTTATTGGCTAAAGTCCTGTGCTGACCGTTGCAATTCAGGCATTTCTTCTCTAAGGATAAGCAATCTTTCCATGTGTGTCCTTCATTTGCACATTCTGAGCAGACTTTATGTTCTTTGGTACGAGGACATTTATTGGTAGGGTGGCTTTCAAGTTGGTAGCAGCGCATGCAAGTCAGGATAGGGATAAACTCTTCTATTTTAATGTTATGTGCTGGGATGCTCATGTGGAAAGCAAGTATTCCACTTTCAGTGGCTTTTTTGGCTGCTGCTGTTTGATTGAGGCAGATCTTCATTATTTTTGTTCGTGGTACTTTGAAGATGCTTTCTATGCCGTCTTGTAGCCAACTATTTTCACCGATCAGTTCATCTTCTATTTCTTTGGTGGGTTGGTTGTATATATATTCATCAACATTGAATATTACTATAGTCCTTTTCGCCCTCAGTTCAGGTGGGACTATTGGGTTGAAATTTTGATCATTCAGACTTCTTTGTAAGTTGGTGTTGAAGATCTTGTCTATTTCCTCATCTGTGCCTGTTAGGACGATGAAGCCGTCATTAACTGGTATGATCTTAGTGGCGTAAATGAGGTGTTCTGAGAGGATCCTTAGGAGGTGTATTTTAGCAGCTCCGTTGGGATCTGGGTGTTTTATCCTTACTCTTGGCATCTTGAATTTCAGTAATCCATCCGTCAATAAATAAAGCCCTATAAGGGGGCAGAACCCCGAAATACGAACACAGCTAAGAGATAGAAAAAGGGAGGAGCCTACCTAAGCGAGTCAGTGTGAACCCCCGGCTGCTAACAGCCGTCGTAGTGTTCCTGCCCCGCGCCTAACCCTATTTTAGTTTTGCTCACCCTTCTGGTATGCTTAAGGCAGCACTATCTAAAGGCCCCCCTTGTGCAAGCCGCAGGGTTCACCTTCACATACCAGGGGACACTAAGAGCGAAAAGGAAATATAGTGGTAGGTAAAAAGAGGTACCGCACAAGGGCGGGCTCTCAACCTAGTGGGAGAGCCCCGTTACACAAGTGCAGACAGTGGCAGTGAGACCAGGGACCAAAGCAACGCCAGGCCACAGCACCCAACCGTCTCCCCGGCTCGACCGCTAAGGTGCCGGGGCGAGGAGATAGCGGGGTGGGACGTGTGGTGGTGGCGAGAGAGAGAGGCGGGTGGTGATATCCAATCAGCGCGCGAGTTGCCACGTGGCTGAGGTCCAAGGAGAGAGCAGTGGGGGAGAGGTGTGTGCGCTCCGACTGCCGGCTACTGAGTGAGTGAGTGAGTGAGTAAAATTCCCGATTT